TAATTGGTGATAATTGGTTACAAACAATTAACGATATGTGGGTTATAACTTGGGTAACAATTAAAATTTGGACATGATCACCAAATAAACTTGGTTACCTAACAAGTACTAGCAATAATTATCAGTAAAGTAACCCAAAACGTACCCAACATTTATTAAAATAGCACTAAAATTGTATACAACATACTGTATTCACCAAAAATACCATGTTTAATTTTTTTAGACCAAATTTTTTAATTAAAAAAATATTTACAAAAAATAAACTAACTTTAGTAAAAATTAAGACCAAAAAATACCTGCGTTAGTGGTTTATCATTGAATGCCAGACACAGACACAACTGTGCCATCTATGGTAAGTACTCGTTGCGCAGGCATCACATCCCTGTCCATCACCACAGCTGTGAACGTCACTACAGTCTCCCCATTAATACACAGCAAACAGTGTTGGAGTTCAAGGATATCCCCTTCAATACAACACAAACAGAGTGTATAACAAGTCTTTCCACTTATTTTGTAGCAAAACTTTTTTTTAAATCTCAATTCAGAGTACATTTGTATTGTAAACACATTTAGATTTTTACAATCAAACGATTGGCACTTTATTTTGCGCCCAGACTTTGATCCCAACTTAACCACTGATTGTGTCAATACAGTTATTCACATAATTAATGTAATTTATATTTAAACATCACATTTTAGCGACACTTGTAATAGCAAGTACTCAAATCACTTAAATTATAATTTCACCTTAATATAAATTGGTGAAATATTTCTACCAAGTACTATTGTGTAATTAAATCAAATTTAATTATTAACAACCAATCATGACATCACTTATACGAGGTATGTGTGTAGAATAAATGGCATTAATTATAACATAATAAACAAAATGAACATGCTAATTATTAACAATATTGCTAAATAACCCTAATGTTTGTGTGTTTATTGTAGGCGTTTTCATAGTGGGGGCCAAACGGACCCCATTTGGCGCATACGGCGGTGCCTTACGGGACGTGTCGGCCATAGACTTGGGAATAGTGGCCTCAAAGGCCGCACTACAGGCCGCCAACGTTAAGCCCGAACTCGTGGACTCCGTTACCGCCGGTTGTGTCACTCAAGTCAGTGCTGCTCTTCACAGGCATTGCAATTGCAATCTCAGCCTAAATGCCATTCAATTAAATTGTATTAATTGTTGTATTCATACAAATGATATGAGTGTAGGTGTCGTCCAATGAGGGACCGATGATCGCCCGATCGGTTGGCCTCAAGTCAGGCGTTCCCCTACCGGTGCCCTGTCTTACTG